CGCGGCTCGGCTCGGTGGCGCCGCCCGTCACGAGGGCTCCGAGGGCCCCGGCTGGGACTCCGCGGTCAGCCCCGTGGCTCCGAGGCTTTGTGACCTCGGTTATCCCTTCGGTGCTTGCGTTCCTCACCCCCAGGTGCGGATGCGACGGGAGCTGCTTTCCTACTGGCCTTCGTAGGAACAGATGAGGCGGTGCGCCCGGCACCACCGAGCCCGACACCCACGCAGTCTGACTGTGGCCCTGCAGAAACGCGAGCGCTGTAAATGGATGTCACCCGGGCTCTCTCCCGGGGCAGACGTCCCCGCAGCCTCTGACGTCCTGTCACGTCCACGTCCGCTCATCCCCCAGCCAGTTCTCTCTGCCTTTGCATTTTCTGGACGTCTTCGGCCCCGACTCATCCCTGTCATTTCTCAGAGCAGCGGCAGCCGTCCTCAGCTCGCGGCCGGACTCTGCTCCCCGAAGCACGGGGCCACCCACTCCAGGCGACGACAAACCGGCAAAAGTCGCGACACTTCGGACCCCTCTCTCCCCTCCCCCGTCTCTGCAGGTGGACTCGGGCAGGGTGAATCCATTTTCCCGTAGAAACGAACGACGCCCGGCCTTCTCGGCGACCCGGCTACAGTCATCTCAGGATGTAAATGAGACGACCTTAACTTTCGCTTCTAAACAAACCTGGCTGGTTTCCCCGTTGGATTTGTAGCCTCTGCCCTCTCTGCTGCACTTGTCTCGGTGGAGGACGCTGGCGATGGCCTTGGTCACCTCGCCGTCGCCAGCCGCTGGGCGCATGCAGTCGACGGAGTGCAGAAGCGGTCAGGTCCCAGAGCCAACGGTCCCTGTGGTCCGCAGCCCGCACCTGAGCGCAGCGGGCACCTCCTTCCGAGGAGCGAAGTCAGAACGTGGGGACGGCCAAGGGCCCGGGAGCTCTGCTTTGGCCCACATGATGTTGACTGAGATTAAAGTGGCCAGACCTCCTGAGGCTTGTGTGTGTGTTTTCCCTCCATAAACTAGAAAAACAAAGTGAACTAAAGCTTGGAAATAAGAAAATTCATTTTCTGAAAAGCGGGCTTCTTGGAGGATCATCATGATGTGCTGGGAAAGTTGATACATCAGGATATTTGCTTTAGAAGCCGACCGTGCCCCGTCTTCAAACAGGTATGAATTTGCTCCACAACATTCAGGAGCCAAATGTATCCTATTTCTACATTTTTTTCTTTCTTTCTTTCTTTTTTTTTTTTCTATTTCTACATTTTTTTCTAAATCAAATCAATCAGCTCCAAATCTCTGCTTCACAAGGATAGTGAGAAATTCACTGTCGGTCAGGTTTTGGGGAACCCCTCTTTTTCCTAGGATATGATAGGCCCTGCCCAGAAAATTGGGGGAAGGACTTCTGGTTTCAGACCATCCTGAGTATGCTGTGAATCCTCACATGCCTACTGTCCCAGCTCCTGCGGTCCGTTCGCAGGTGAACCGCCACGTTCTTTCTAAGCAAAGCTTGGACACAGAGAACTCCAGCCTCAAGGCTTAGGGATTGGCCTCTGGTTATCCCATGAGAGATCCTGCTACCAACAGGGTGCCACATGGGAGTGGGATGGGAGGAGAAATCCACCCCGAGGGTTGCGATCCGTTGCCGGACACGAAAAAAGACAAAAAGGAAAAAAAGAAAAAGAAAAAAAAAATGATTAAAATGGGAGACTTTATGTTATATATATTTTACCACAATTTTAAAATTAAAAAAAAAAAGAAAAACTGTTAAAAACAGAAAAATGGTAATTCACTTGGGCTTGGGAAATTTAACCAGTCCTCAGGAGCCACACCACTGCTGCTTCCTGAGTCCCCAGGCCTCTGTGATAGGCTGAGTAATGGCCCCCTAAATACCCACGTCCTAATCCCTGGAACCTGGACGTGTACCTTCTATGGCAAAAGGGACTTTGCAGATGTGATAAGAATTTTGATCACTTGGGCTTGGGAAATTTAACCAGTCCTCAGGAGCCACACCACTGCTGCTTCCTGAGTCCGCAGGCCTCTGTGATAGGCTGAGTAATGGCCCCCTAAATACCCACGTCCTAATCCCTGGAACCTGGAAGTGTACCTTCTATGGCAAAAGGGACTTTGCAGATGTGATAAGAATTTTGATATGGGAGATTATCCTGGATCATCCAAGGGCCCTAAACATAATCACACATATCCTTAGAAGAGGGAGCAGAGAGAGAGTTGACTACAGAAGGGGAGGGAGCCACATGATGATGGACGCAGAGGCTGGAGTGACGCACTTTTGAGGTTGGAGGAAGGGACCACCAGCCAAGGAGTGTCGTCAGCCTCTAGAGACAGGAAAAGGCTAGAAAACAGATTCTGCCCTAGAGCTTCAAGAAAGAACCAGCCCTGCTATTTCAGACCTCTGGCCTCCAGAACTGTAAGATATTAGAGTTGTGTTGTTATAAGCACCAAGTTTGTGGTAATTTGTTACAGTGGCAACAAGAAACGAATGCAGCTCCTTGCCCCCATGGTCAACTGAGCTTTCCAGCCTAGACTTTTGAAAAACTCAAAGTCTTAATAAGATGAGAGAAACCCAGTCCTCCAAAGACTTGGCTGCTTTCTTAGAGGAGAAGGGGAAATACCTTTACTTCTTTCATGAGTTCACAGCAGGAAGTAAGACACGGTGGATCCTCAGTCACCATATCCTACCACTCAGGAATATTTGGAGTCTTAGTCATCAGGGTTCCTGGAAAGCCACTGGAAGGAGCTCAAAGGATGCAGCACTGGACCCATAAAGATTGGGGTCACACAGGCCTGTCACCAATGCTTGAATAAGCCCTCCTTAGCTGGGTGGGCCTCGTCACCTGAGCTAGCTAACCAATTAATAAAGCCTGCTGGCCAAGGCTTCATGAAAAGGAGATCTGTTGACCCTCTAAGAATGATTGCCTGAGTTGAGGCAGGGCTCTCTGGAGACTCACCCAGCAGAGGAAAATGAGTGAAAGCCGTGGCTGGACAGAGTGGGATGGAACATGGGCGAGGGGCAGTCTGGGCCCAAGGCACTCAGTGTGAAGGAGGCCACTGTGCATTCTGTCCCCATGGGGTTCTCCCTTGGACAGGACAGGGCTCTTGCTCCAGGCTCTCACGCTGCAAAAAGTAGGACATTAGCAAGTGAGAATTCCACTTATTTGGGGGAAATCCATATCCTAGATCCCATATGTTAATCATGCTTTATTTTGCCTTCCCTAGATAATATTTTATGTTTCTAAGGGATATGAAAACAGTCTATCCTCTTTGTTTTCCTAATAAAAACATTAGGTAATCATCTGGTTAAAGGCAAGTATATCAGTTTCTTATTGCTGATGTAACAAATGGCCACAAACTTAGTGGCTCAAAACAACACACATTTATTATCATACAGTTCTAGAGGTCCAAAGTCTGAAATGGGTCTCCCTAGGCTAACATCGAGGTGTCAGCAGGGCTGCATTCCTTCTGGAGGCTCAGGAGCGTGCCTTTCTCAGCTTCTAGAAGATACTCACATTCCTTGGCTCATGGCCCCTTCCTCCAACTTCAAAGCCAGCAAGCACTTCACTCCAACCTCTGCTTCTGTTGCCACATCTCCATCTCTGACCCTAACCCTCCTGCTTCCCTCTTTCACTCCTGAGGACCTTTATGATTATAGTGAGCCCACCCAGATAATCCAGGATAATCTCCTCATCTGAAGATCCTTAACTTAATCACATCTGCAAAGTCCTTTTTGCCAGGTGAGATGACATATTCACAGCTGCCAGGGATTGGGACATGGACATCTTCAGGAAGCCGTTGTTCTGCCTACCATGGCAAGCAAATTTCCTGTGATGTTTAAAAACCTAGCTCTAAAACATCTGTTCATGGAGACTTCTTGAGGGAGTCTGGTGTTATCCGTAGGTGTCTGGCATGCAGTAGTAGTAATGGGTAAATGTGCGCTTCTTTCTCTCGTGGGTTTCCTTTAGTTTCAGCTGTCCGTGTCTGTTGGTTCTCTTGTGAGTCTTTCCTTTCTAATAGAAGGTCAGTCCTCAGAAGCAGCTGCTGGAGATGACCCCACTGTGGAGTTGCCAAGGCTCCTCTCAAAGGGCCTCCAGGGTGTATGGATGGACAAGTCCTTGACTAGCCTCCACCCTCCCTCCCTGAGGACTGGCCAATCAGTCCCTTACCAGAAAGAAAACATTCTTTTTTGCAGCCAATCAGAAACATGCACAACTTCCAGAAGATGGGGCCAAACGTTTCCTTACTTTCCCCTCAGCATCCCCTAATACAGAGCCTCCTCCATGGTCTCCTGAGGGGGTCCTGCTCTCTCTGCTCTCTCTCCCTGTTTTCTCCTCCCTCCTCACCCCTTCTTCAGGATCCTGGCTCCATCCTGGCAGCAGCCCGAGGGTCCTGAGGACCATGCTTCCTGCATTATCCAGGGAGCCAGAGCCAGTTCCCTCCCTGTTGCCCTGCTCAGCCCAAGCCGTAAGACTTTCAGGTTCCTTGGGGATGGCCAGGAACATGACACACAAGCGCTTCTTGCTAATATTGACCATTAATATGCATTACATATTTAAAATGTCTGCCTAGCTAGCTGTCTGTCCAAGATCTTCTCCTCACTAGAATGGGAAGAGAAGAAAGGAAGGCTGTAAGAGGGGTAAAAAAATCCCACCCTCTCACAAACAAATAATCAACTGAATAAATAATAATGGGAGGAGTGAATGCATGCATGAATGAATGATCTAAGTCTTTACCTTCCTATTATCTCATACCTTGTAAAAGACTGGAGACTTTGGCATAAGGAGTTTACCTTTACCCAGAGGTCAACCAGCATCCCCATGTGCTCACTCCTCTCCTGCGTCCAATTCATTCCACGTTTTTGTCCAGACTTTGGGTTCCCAACATACTGAGAGATAAACTCGAGAACAGAGCAGTCTTTTAGAATGCTAGAAAACATAAAATTTCTAAAATGTCAGGCTGGAAGGTTATTTCGTAATTGATGTTCCAGCCATCTCAGTGTATTTTCTCAACTGTAATTGTCAAGGACTCCACAATTACTTCTGCCCAAATCTTGTCATTACCATATCTGTCATATTTCTGAATATTAATTTAATTTTGTAGAGCATGCTAGCACCTTCCTGTGTAAGATGATGTGTAATAACTATTAGTTAGCTAGGCTAGCATGCACACTAATGTCAAACCCATGCCAGGAATATTCTGGGATCTTTCAAGGAAATTCTAGGTCCCTGAGTGAAACTTTTTAAAGAATTCCCTCTTAAAGAAAAAATGTCCAGAAATATCAATGGGGCTCCTCTGGGAATTGCCTGGGTAGTAACTATGCCTCTATTTGCCAAAGCAAAATATATTTCTAGGAGGATTTCATTGAATCACCAAAAGTAGTCTCTTAGGAGAGCAGGGTTAGTCTCCCTGAAAACTTGGAGAAAGTAATTTCTATAGTCTGAGATGCTTTGTTAGGGGACCACCAGCCCAGGTAGAAACAGGGAGAAAAAACTTCACTGTGATCACGTTCTACTAGGACTAAGGATTCTTCACTCTAGACTGAAACTTTACATGTGTGAGGCTTCATCAACTACCAATTTATTTGAATTTCAGACTATGAATGAATACCTTGAAATCAATTATGTTGGCTGTAGTGATAAAGGTGTGTCAAGTCAACTCTGGTATATAATGACTATTTGTAATCCTTGCTATTACAACATCTGT